AAAAAAACTAAAACACCTCTACAGCTCACTAATTAGCATGTTATCCTGTTTGTTTAATCCATACACAAGCAGAGCAGCTGGAAGGGTTTCAGCTGGAACTGCTGAGCGAGTGACTGTCACAGTGTCACAGTGAGGGTTCCTGGTTTTGTATCATCATAGCTGGCAACCTGTGGTATAGCTGGTGCATAGAATAGAATCAGTGGGTGAATGGATACACTTAAGTTCATTAATAGTTTTTACCCTTATGCTTATGTATGGATTAAACAAATGAGCTGCATGAGTAAACATGTCACGTAGTGCTTATTTTATTGTACGCTGTACTTTTGTCCATCTTGGGATCCTGTACAAGTTATATCTCAATTTTTCCAGAGATGATTGGTCAGTAGGCATGTCTGTGAAAAGTTTTAATCCTCTAAATTGAACCTACACTGGAGCAGTTTAGCCATTCAGCATTTGTAGTTGACCACGGTAATGTACCCTAAGTGACAGTAAATTTGCTAAACAGAACCATCTGGGAAGTCGAAGAAACTGTGAAGAAAAAGGGCAGGAACTTTCAAAAAATCCTCAGCAGTTGGTTGGATGAACCATCTGATCACTATCCATCACAGACGAACTTCTTTAAAGTATTTTTGGGGCTTTTATTGCCTTTATTATAGTGACAGCTGAAGCTAGACAGGAAAGGGGGGCAGAGAGAGGGGATGACACACAGCAAAGGGCCACAGGTCGGATTGGAACTCTGGGCCGCTGCAGCAAGGACTCAGCCTCGGTACACGGGTCGCCAGCTCTACCCACTGAGCTAACTTCAACCAATCAGATCAACGAACCATATAACGTGGTCAAACTCTTACTGAAGTCAGTCGAGAGAAGAGAGAAAACCTCTTTTCCATTGAGAAAAGCCTTCAGTGCCAGTTTATGCTCTTCTTTCAATGAATAAATACTCTCCAGTTCTGATAACACTGATGCTAGCAGAATCTACACCAACAACCTTGTCACACACACCTGGTGTTATACCACGCCCGTAGCTCATGCCATAGCTGCCAGTTATTCCTCATAGGACACTGACTGGTCCCAACCACTGTGGTTGGACACAAACACGTAACTTTGAGCTTGGCAAGACGGATTCTCACGTCATAGCTAGTTAACTGACTAACCTTATTTATTGATATAGGCCTCATATTATTAGTGCAGCATCGCCAGCAAGTTGCACTCTTACTGCCGACAAGATGTAAATAGCAGAGGTGAAATGGGAAAAGCCTCACTCACCTGAGTTTACTTTACGGGCTGTGACATTTAACACATGATGGACAACTGGTAAACAATGAATCAGATTAATGCTAGATAAATCTGAGAAAGGATATGTAGTCAGCATATTTGTTAGGCATTGGTGTGTTTTGGTGAAAAACCAATAGACACATTTTTAAACACCTGTATTGATCTCTGCTGAGAAAGCTACATTCAGTTCTCTCTCCAAATGCATCCAGACTGTTTATTGCCACTGGTGCCCAGGAGCTCAGGGCTTCCTCAAGGACTGCCTGAGGCTGTGTGAAATCATCTGAAAGCCCTCTGTGCTGTAGTTGCTATTTTATCCCCACATATGGGGAGTGTGTTCCAGCTTGGGCTCTGCTCGTGTGTCTCCTTGGAGGGTCACCTCCTCTGGAGCGCTCACTGTCTGCGTCGCCCCGAGCAAAAGCAAAACTCGTCGCCAAGAATTTATTTATGCCTTTAATTTCTCCCTCTGTGGAATATACTGCGACCTGACAGACACGCAGACACAAACACACGCATTTCATCTCCGAAGCTTTGATGAACTCACACGCATTCATGCACACACACGCAGAAAAGATCCTTATCTCAATCTGCAGTTTGATGTGGGAGCACACAAATGAACACACATCATTTCTTAGCCTATAGTTGTGATGATGCATACTGCACACGCACACACACACACACACACACAGAGTTGTCTTCTCAGTCTGAAGTGTTGATGGGCGGATGGGGAAACACACTCATAAAACACACATAAATTCTTATCTGAGGCTGCAGTTTATAATGGGATCTCACACACGCACACACACACCCAACGTCACACATCTTGGTCTGGAGTTTTGATGAGAGCACACTCGCACATCATCTCCGTCTGGAGTTCTGAGAAGAGCTGCAGCTGTAAACTCATCAGTATGATTTATAACCCCTCTCATCTCCTTGTCTCGTCCCCTTCTCGCTCTCCCTTGACCTCCCGCCCTGCCCCATTTTCTCTCTCGCTCACAGCTTCTCAGCGCTGCACCATGCCGCACTGACGGGCACCACGGAGCTCCTGTCTCTGCTGCTGGAGGCCCAGGCCACGGTGGATATCAAGGACATCAACGGTATCATGATGGCAGAACAGCTTTACCGGCTGAACCAGTCTCACCAGACAAACCCAGACCTTAAAAAAAACAAAAATGCTCACGCTTGGGAAGTCAGTTGGAGTTAAAATTGAGCCTGAAACTTCCTCAACAGCTTTCTGACACTCTCAGCTGAAAATAAGTTTGAGCCATATGAATAAATATGATTCACTTTGAAGTTTGTCTGCCGTGCAGTGACAGCAGTGCTACATTAAATATCTTCAGACTCCAAGCGGAACAGATATAGTAGAATTTGTGCAGGAGTGGCAGCTGCTGAGACCAGAGGCGTGTAGTGTTCATAACCGTGTGTGTAGGGTTCCAAATTAACTTCTTGGTCTATATGCCAATGGCTGCTGAACTAAAAAATTGGACTGGCCAAAATATTTAAAACCTGCCATAACGCTACATAAGATACAATGTATAGTGGTACCTTTTATTTGGAATCATTTTGAGGTTTGGACTGCTGGTTGGACGAATCAAGTGTCAATTTGGGATCTGGGTAATTGTGACAGAATTTCTCACTAATTTTTTAAAGTTTCTAGAAACTAAACAATCAGTGGATTAATGGAGAAAAATACAGTATCAGCAGATTAATCCATGATGAAAATCATCATGATAATAATAATAATACAACTATACAAAATAGTTCAAAATGAACTCCACCTCAACCACCTACAACAGTAAAATCCAGCTTTTACATTAATGCATGAGAAATAATAATCTATTAATGCAACAGTACAATGGGGGTGGCATTTTTCTGCATTAAGTACTGTAATAGTGTAGTACATTTTCCTGATTATTCTTTTCAATGCATCACTTTTACTTATAATGGTGTATTTGGTATTCCAAAACGGAATAAAGACCATGACTATTGCCAGATGCCTTTATGAAATAAAACATTAAGCTTTGAGCAGAGCATTATATTAGGAATGTGCATGTTCATCACTGAGGCCAATGTTATACGCATCTGGATGTGATCTGATATACTGTATATCAGATCGGCTAGTCAGTCAGTCAGTGTTTAGCACTGCCGCTTCACTGCAAGAAGGTCCTTGGTTCGTATCCTGGGTGGAGCAGAGCCTTTATGTGTGGAGTTTGGCCAATTCTCCAGTCAGTGCCTTTAACCAAGGCACTGGCTCAGATCTAGAGTTGGTGCCTGGGCACTGCATGGTTGCTGCCCACTGCTCCTAGTAGTCAAATGGAGATAATAAATTTGGTTCTCCTTAAGCAGCTTGTCAGGTGGCCAGAAAAATACACTGATGCTGCTTTAAATTTTCTTCAGTAGGAACCAATGGGCTTTTTGTAGTTTTTTTTGTCTTTTTGTGGGATTTGTAAGAAAAATAGAGTAATGCCAGCCTTTTGTCACTTTAGATGAGCACTCCCAATGATGGAGTATTACACTTCCATAAACTTGGATGACTTGCCAGAGACAGATAAAAAAGATGCAAATCAATGCAGCGATGGCCAAGATAGTCTGATTTTGAGTTCCTAATATGGGTCAAAAAGGATCAACCTACACTTCCCATGATGCAATGTGATATTTTCTTTTGTTAGACCCTTCCTGCTTGGTTAACCCTGACAGACTTTCTGTTAAAAATCCCCAGCACAAGTTGAGATAACCCTGATGACATCACTATGATATCATCATGCTTGTATTGTCAGACTTAACAAAGATCCTCCAGAGCAACAGAAGACATTATACAACTGTTTTCACAGGCTGAATAGTACCCTCCATGGAATAGTAAATTGACGGTTTACATGGTCTAATCAGTAGTGCTTCCATCCCTCACTCATGTTTCTGTCTGTAGGCATGCGTCCCCTGCACTACGCAGCATGGCAGGGTAAAGCGGACTCTGTCTTACTGTTGCTGAGAGCTGGAGCTTCAGTCAACTCCCCTTCCCATGATGGACAGATACCGTTACATCTCTCTGCTCAGTATGGACACTATGAGGTGGTGAGTACACACACACACACACACAAGACACCTCAGCTGCCAAAGGCAAAGTTCCAAGGCATAATACCAGTCCTCCCATTTCACTGAAATCTACCCTTTGGTGTCTCAGCCTGTATTGTCACCAACAATACCAGTAATACCATTAATGCCATGCATAGGTTTTTCACAAGAGTCTACAGGCAGTGAACACACACATTCCTCTTTCTCCAGCCATCTTCCTCCTGGAATGTCTTAATGGATGGATACACATATCACAGGACACACACACACACACACACACACACCTCAACCCGTCATATATATCGAGGGTGACCTCTTCAGTACAACACAATGCTGGCAATCCTAAAAGGCCACACCAGAGCTATCATATGTTAATGTCTTCTGTTCAAAGACAAAACATCAACACACACACACACAATGTGTTGGGATGACTGGCATGTGAGTGTCAGTGCATAATACATGAGGTGATATCACTTACGTTATCCTTTCTCCCTTTCTCTCTCAGTCTGAGATGTTGCTGCAGCACCAGTCTAATCCCTGTCTGATGAACAAGGCGAAGAAGACTCCTCTAGATCTGGCCTGCGAGTTCGGCAGACTGAAGGTATGAGAATATTTGTGTGTTGTTTTCATATATCAGTCTTTCATTAAAAACCTTCATCACCTACAGCATGATGGATTTGACACAATTTGTTTAACTGTAGCCCTCAAGATGACATTCTGTCTTCAATCAATCAATCAAGTTTTATTAATATTGTATCTTTCAAACAAATAAAATCGAGTTAAAAACAAGAAACTGACTAAAGAGATAATTATAATATAATGTTACAATAAAGGATTTAGAGACTAATGCACACCAAGACAACAAAAACAAAAAGTCAAATAAGACAACAATAAAAAATAGAGTGGTTAAGATAATAAAAGATGGCAATAATAGAATAAAAAATAAAATTATGAAATACTACTAAATAGAACAGTGAAATGTTAATAACATATAATAAAATAAGTATAAATATTAAAACCATAAAATTATAAAACACTACATAAAAGCCAGACAGTCATCGTTCCATCATTAGCATCATCAGTACAAAAATACCAGTGCTATGCATAGACCATTACCGCACTGGTAGTCACAAAACTATGCGCAGTAGGAAAGTGCACACCTCACACATAGTTCAATGTGTGAGTTGTGCACTTTCAGAGTGATGTGGGTGTGGTACACTGTGGTAAAGTAGAAAATTAAAAGTAATGTTGTACACAACATTTTCAAGTAATAAGTCAAAGAATATTATGTTAATATATATTTTAATAGTTGTTGTGTACTCAGATTTATTCTTTTTATTATGCCTCCGCTTCTGTGGCTGAAAGTGTTATATTTTTTGGGTTGTCCATCTGTTCGTCCCATCCTCATGAACACAATATCTCAGGAATGTCTTGAGGGAATTTCTTCCAATTTGGCACTGTGACCTCGCAAAACACGCTTTTGGCCATTACTCAAGAATTGGTGACCATATTTCATAATTGGTTGGAGAAAGAATTGGTGACACTTTTGAGTCAAAGGTCACTATGACCTCAACCGTCATCTGAATTATGTGACTGCAGACGAAGTATTGGAGTTTACCTTGCTAGTGGTGATCCTGTCAGTCAGTGAGTTTAACCTACAGCTCACAGAGAGGCGTTGCATCTAAAAATGGCACGAAAAAACAAAAGCACCACATTTTGTAAAGCTGTATCTGCAGACATTTTTTGTTTATTGGCCTTGTGCAGACATCAACCAATTAATTGGTCTATCTATAGAAATGATTATTCTTTTAAGAAATAAAATCTTAAGCTTTGGGGTAAAAATAGCACAGCCCTATATTTTATTAACGATGTGCTTTATCACCGAGGCCAATGTGATGCGCAGCTCGACGCATTGCCAACGATCGGATTCAGTGCAATACGATACGATACGATGTGGATGTGATGTAAAAGAATGGCATCCGATTGAAAAGTTGACCTAATGGTGGCGCTGTTTAGAAAAGTCAGGGGATTACCAAAGTTTTTAGGATTCAAATATCATGGCAATCCATCCAATAGTTGTTGAGAAATGTTGCCCAAGAGACTGAGAGACGCTTTGATATGCTTTAATAATCTTCTCATTCTAATCCAATTATCTGCATGTGAAAACACCCCATTTGGCCCTTTTTTAGATGGGGATGGCCTATGTCAAACATGAACCATGGCTTAGATAAAGTGACCCAGCTATATTAAGTTTGTTTGAGCGAAAGGAAAATAGGCTTCAGTGGCTCTTTGAGGACACACACACACTGTAACGTTAAAGGGATTGCATGTTGCACTGTGTTTTACTGTTTCTCTGTCACGTCGCCGGATAAGCCTGGCTGTGAGATGTATAGCTGGCCCTGTAATTCAGAATTAGACACACACACACACACTCCCTATGGCTGTTAAATGTTTTCTCATCTGGAGTTTGCAGTTTAGTTGTGAAAGAATAGAAGGCTGTGGGCTGTTTTTGTGACATGCAGACTTTGTGAGTGAGAGTGCGTGTGTGAGAGGGGGCTGTGGTATCTTTAGACAGCCGCTGAGTTGTGGATAAGCCTCTATGTACTAGCTTGACCCTATATATAAGTTACCATATATATATAATTTCAATCCATATTTTCACCACACAACCTCAGCTAGCTTGGCTTTGCATATGTATCGAAGTATAGCTAATGCTTTAATTCTTGCCCTGATTCTGCCACTCTTCTGTTCTCAAAACCCACACTTCATCTTCATCCAGCTGTCTTTGATTTCTCTTTAGGTGGCTCAGTTGCTGTTGAGCAGTAACATGGTGGCAGTGCTGTTAGAAGGGGAGGGAGGGCAGGACAGCCTCGACTCACCATCTACCACTCCCCTCCACCTGGCAGCCAGGAATGGACACAAAGACATCATCAAGTAAGATCACAGCGGGGAGCAGTGTGGAAATGTACTGTAATAGAATTCTATCACGTCTATTTCTGCCCTTTCATCTTTGCAGCAGCTTCTGTCTGCTTTAACCACAGCTACTGCTGCTGCTACAGGAATGACAAATACCACTACTGCTACTACTGCTACTACTGTTATCGCTGCTACCACTGGTCCTACATCTACTAATACTAGGATTACTGTTGCTACTACAGCTGCTAACTACTGCTTGTGTATCACTACTGATACCTCGACTTCTGCCAATACTGCTATTTCTACTACTACAACTACTACTGTTACCACTGCTGCTGCTACTACTACTATATTACTGCTGCCACAATCTCTACTACTAATGATGATACTACCACTGCTATTATTGGTAACACTATAACTACTGTTGCTACCACTGCCATGGCTATTATTTCTATGGTTACTGCTACAGCTTGTAATACTGCTACTGCTACTGCTGTTACTACTGATGCTACTGTAACTAGTGCTACAACTACTGCTGCTACTGTTAATACTGCTGCTACTGATGCCACTTCAACCACCACTACTACTTGTACTATTACAACAGTTTAGTAGTACCACTCTCTCTACTAGGGCTGTCAGTGCTACTTCCTACTATTGCTGCTACTTTACTACCACTACCAAAACTACTAACTACTGGTGCTACTACTGGTACACTTATTGCAGTACCACTACTACTACTACTACCATTAGTGCTGTTATTATTACTCCACTGCACTATGCTGGTAATACACAGAATACCATATTGTGCCAGTCCTAAATTCACAGCTGCAGGTGCTAAATATATCCCCTTAGGTTGTTCCAGGAAGTAAAACCAGTAAGTGATATTTAATACCAGTGACTTCACACTTTTTATGTCAGCATATTTGTGTAAATATGTATGTACTTAGCCAAGCAACTCCACCCTGCCTCTTAGACATGCTGCTAACGATTTCCATCCTAAATGATCAGATCTCTTTTGCAATACCCTCCCATCCTCCTCTCTCCTCCCGAACTGCAAAGTTGAATAGCAGAGATGGAGGAGAAAAGGCAAGCTTTCAACACAAATAGGAGTTTTAAAAAGATCCACTGCATTTAGCACACAAGTTTATTCAGAGTTTACTCAGCAGGATTCTGCTGTGATCGCTCACTAAGGGATTTATCTCTCTTCAGAGACTGCCATACTTATACAGCAGACGTCTTATAGTACCTACTTTTTGTATAGCTGGAGAAGCTTTCCAGGTCTGCTTAAAACTGCAGCTGCAAATATTTGCCCAGGAAAGATTTTTGCTGTGGATTTACTATCGTATATATGTATACACTTTGGGAAAAATAACAGTAATGAGTATACATTGAATACAATTCTGTGATTGGTATAATTCATAATTAAATTTGATCCTCAGAACCATAGTTTACCCCATGTGTGGACATGCATTGCAGTTTGTATATTTTTTGTATATGTAGAGAATATGAGAGTAAACCAGCTGCTTATCTTCAGGACAGAGATGGAGAAGTTTAAGCTTTATGACTGTTTTCAAACATTCAGAGTTCTCAAGGTTTAACAGGAAGACTAAAACTGTTGATGCTGAGTAAAGGGAAAAGGCATCAGCCACAATGGGCTTGCTTCAGGCTCCTTTTTCAACATACTGCATGGTTTAATATTTATCCTGTCTGTCCAACCCTGCTGCAGTGTCCTACATAAGCTGGACCTTGCTATAGACCAACCACTCATAAAAGTACAGCTTGCATGTGAAGTCAAAAGATTATGACAAAAAGTTGTAATTTTATAAGAGAAAAGTAATTTATTTTTTATAGAATTTGTATTTATTTTGTTTATTTTACATCTCATAAAATAAAAAATTGAATGATACAATTACAAATTTAATTGTAAAATTACAAATTTGAGCAAAATATTACAAATTTTATATATAAACTAAAGTAAAAGACATTCAAAATATGACTTTATTCTCTATTACAACATCATTTTCAAATCTTTCCTTAACAGTGGCTTTAATATTCTGTCTTAACAGTTTTACTGCATAACAATTGAAGACCGTCTTTGAGCTTGCTGAAAGGTTGCCTGTAAAGTATCTGTCCACCTCAGTCCTTTACAGATGTAAATGTTCCCTGCTGTAGTTGTACAGCCTATAATTGAAGCTTTAGAATACTGCAGATCTGTCTGACAGAAAGGAAACATACTATGTATGTGTGTAAGTGTATTATCCAGCGGACACACTGGTGGCATGAATGTGCTTGGAGTGGGTTAACGCTCAGAAAACACCATGCACGTGAATCCAGCTAATATCCTACAGCAATGCTTCAGTGTTGTTTACTTCTTCAAAATCTGACTCAACCATCACACAGCGAGCTTAGGACCTCCTCCGGCACCGCTCTCTGGATACGACGCCGTCAGCATTCCTACAGAACCAGAGAAATATTGGTTAACTTGTGTGTGTGTGTGTGGGTGGATGAGTGGGGGGTATATGGCTTAATGAGATGTTGCAGATGTCTGTAACAGTTGTATGGATGAATCTTTTTCTGAGTGTTGCCTGCGGCTTTACATCAGCGTTTCTGCTTTGATTTCCTAGGTTGCTGCTCAAAGCCGGCATTGACATCAACAGAGCCACCAAAGCAGGGACGTCTCTGCACGAGGCTGCCCTCTATGGCAAAACTGAAGTCGTGAGGCTGCTGCTTGATGTAAGCAAAGACGATATAACTATAGTTTCACTTCAGCTGGAATGGGTTTTTGAAGGCTCATATATTTGTAGTGAAGGTGTAGATAGAAAAATGTGTAAAGTTAACACAACTTCACACTACAATTCCAGTGTTATTCTTTAATAGAGGAGGGAGGCATTTATGGGAGGGTTTGTTTAAAAAGTCTATCTCACCCAAAGTAATCCCACAGTGTGTGTGTGTGTGTGTGTGTATCTAGGCGGGCATCAATGTGAACATGCGCAACACGTACAACCAGACAGCTTTGGACATCGTCAACCAGTTCACCACCTCCACAGCCAGCCGGGAAATCAAACAGCTGCTGAGAGGTTGGTATCTCTTAGAAAACATTTTTTGATAGTTCATTGATGCTCTTATGAAATGTGGATATTTGGTTAAGACTAGGGTGGGGGAAAGAGTGGGGGAGAGGTTGGTAAATCCCAAAGAGAGATCAGTAAAAGGAGCCTCCTGATGATGTGTCTGTATCTTTCTGTCTTTTTGCAGAGGCATCAAGCTCTCTTCAGGTCAGAGCAGTGAAGGACTATTGGAACCTCCACGACCCCACAGCTCTTAATCTCCGGGCTGGAGAACTTGTTATGGTACTTGTTTTTGTCTGTTTACTAGCCGTCTACTACAGTGAGTCATAGGTTCACTCAGCAGTACTCTTGTTATTGCTTGTGGCTCCAATACCAACTTTTCTTTTTAGCCTTTGTTAGCTTTGTTTGCAATGCAGTTGTTTGTTTATATATTGGCATTTTCAAAATTAATCTTTTATTGGTTTTTGTTTGCTGAAAATTTGTAAAGATTGTTGGTCCAGGTGCATGAGTTCATGAGTTCTGCAGCCACCGTAGTTTCTCCTACTCTCTAGGAAGGCTGAGCTGTATTCAAATGGCTGCAATCTGCAATTTCACCGCTAGATGCCACTAAATCAGAATCAGAATCAGAAATACTTTAAAATACTTTAATAATCCCCGGGGGGAAATTACTTAAATCCTACACACTTAAAAGAAAACAATAGATGTTTTGGTGACTGGGCTCTCAGTCATTTGTCCCTGACACCAAATTCACACCAGACCCATAAGTGCTATTCAAACAGCCATCCATTCAAACCACACAGAGACAGTGACCTCCACTATTACATCATTGCTCTGATGTCCTGTCAGCAGAACAGCTAGACTGGGGTACTGAAAAGAGTGACTGGCAAACCTGTCTTGTATCAGGAATTCAATGGACAAAAATATTTAGTAGGTCTCAAAATCATCACTGTCACACGTTGAAAGAGACTTTACAAATGATAAAGGATTAATTAAAATATTATGAACACACTGAAATGTAAATAAAGATAATTATAAAAGTAATTAATCAAAAGCATTTTACAGATCACTATGAAACAATTTTGAAATTGCCAAACAATTAAGGATAATTATTTTATTATTAGATTCCACCTCCACCTCATCATATCACCCTTTGATCACACTACAAAACTGTATGTACCTCTGGTCTGAAGTATGTGTGACGTTCATACATCCTCACTACATTCATCTTTTATAAATCACAGGTTATGTGTGGGAAATGAAGTATTCATGGTTTTTCTGAGTATGCATTGTTTGAACATCTGGTCCATGAAGTGTGAAGTTCTCAGGGATTGTTGTTTCTTAATTCAAGTCACACACACATACATAGCTTTGGGAGTTGGTGTGGACTGATACTTTAGTAAAAATAGTAGTTCATCTGTTCAGCGAGATGGATGAAACACCCCAGGAACACCTCAAAAAACACTTCTGGTTCAGATTAAGAAATCTCATTTAACATCAGATATTCTCCTTTAGTTTCCCAAGTGAAGGTTTCGTTACTGGAATTCCTGTAATACTGGTCATATCCAGTTGTACCATGGTATATTTTAATAGAACAGAGCTCCTGCAAAATTGATTGAATTAAACTTCATGTTATACCTGCTGGCAGCTGTTTCACTCTGCCTTGTCATTGGCAGGGGAACCACAGGCAGTGTAAGGATTATATGATAAAGACTTCTGTGAGTGAAGTCCTGTTGTTAGGATTCGTGTGGGATGTTACAGGGTAATTTAGTGTACCCTGAGCCGGAGACCACAGTAGATAAACAGGCACAAACTTGCTGCTGTCACTCTCTCATTACCAGCTTGTTTGCTCTTTCCCCCTCACACACTGTTTGCACTAATTCATGTGTGTGCACATTTGCGTGTGTTTATGCACTTACTTCTGCGTATTTTGATATCTTTATACAAGTCCATGTGACATCACAGACTCCTGTATGGACTCGTATGTTGTTGTGTGGTATCCTGACAGACGGCGGAGGTGTTTGTTTTTGTCCTCTCCGGGCATTTTGTTAACACTCACAATGAATAGACTGTGTATTTCCAGCTCATTGGCTCTCTCATTATGGTCTTAAAAGCATGCCTGGAGGAGTCACACACGACATGCTTACTTAGAGTTGATCTACAGTTGACAAGGCAGAATGTTTGGAAAGCGACCCCTCCAAAGTTCCAAATGTTCCACTTTTTTTTTATTTTTTGCTTTAATCAAACCTCAGTCTTCACATCATTGAATCATTTGTTAGTGATTGTTTACGTTCCGCCATCTAGTCTAATGTGATTGTGAATCGTTGCGAGGCTAATGCTGTTTGCAGTGAAACAAACATTGCAGCTGAAGCGTGCCCATGATTTCTTGGTGTCAGGTCCTGGAGCAGCACTCAGACGGCCGCTGGAAAGGTCACATCCATGACACCCAGCGGGGGACGGACCGGGTGGGCTTCTTCCCCCCTTCAGTGGTGGAGGTCCTCAGCAGACGAGCAGGTAGGCAAACAAGCACACCTCTGCATAAACTCAAAGACACTCGGTGGTGAAAAGTAGTTAAGTACAGCACTGAGGTACTTTACTTGAATATTTTCTCCTCTTGCTGCTTTCATGCCTACATTGTAGAATGAAATATTTAAATACTTTTTACTCCACACTTAAATTACACTTATAGTCAGTAGTTACTTTGCAGATTAAGATTTTACCCACAAATCTTATAATTGTATAAATCTAAAATTTGAAATCGATGTGAATTTGTTCAACAGTAAATGCTGCTTATGTGTACCTGAATGCAGTCAGTAATAATAATAATGTAATGCAGTATATGATAATTTAACACTCTGAAAGGGGCCGCTCAGCATAATTAGCAAATTTACTTTTAAATAGTTCTGTACTTTTACATAAAATGTTGAATGCACAGTTTTACTTTATTTATGTATGGCCACTTTTTATTAGGTACATTTTGAATACTTCTTCCTCTACTGAAGACTCTAAAGCCTGTGCATTATAAGCATATTTAAACATACCTGGCGACTTGTTGAATGTTCACTTTAACTTAACCGTCCTGGGCTCAAAGTCAACCAGGCAAATTGGGCCCTAAAGACAGCAGATTCAATAAAAATGAATTGTTTTTGGTAATTTAACTATTTGCTTTTTTTGTTTTAAGAATTTACACCAGTACACTATTAATATTCCAAAGTAGTGTTAAATCAAATGACCAATGATCATGTTATTGCAGCATAGGAGTACTGGTTGTCATACACAGTGAAAGAGGGTGGTATGTGGGAGTGGCGGGTCCAGCAAGAATAAATGTTTACTGTATCATTCTCAGACCGATTAGACCTCATACTCTGGGGGCTTGAGCTGACCGAGTGTTGTTAAAAGGGCCAACCTAACCCAAGGCCATGGTTATATCTGGGCTAAGAATATATCTCGACACTTGTACTCCAGCAGGATCTGTCATGTTGGCACGCATGATCACTGGAGGGTTCAGCATGCATGTAAATCATCTGATTTAATCCCTGTGAATAAAGGAATATGATCCCTATACTTGTTTTGCAGCTGTAAAGCCATTGATATTCAACAGTGAGACAAGAGCAGTGAGGAGTACAATAACAGCAACAGACACAGACGCACACACACCAAGCTAAAACACTTCATTTCTAGGTCCTCAACAAGCCAGGCAGCACACACACATACACACACACAAACGTAGATACTCAGAGACACACATTAATAGGATTAGTATGGCCAGATTGCAAAGTGTCAGCTCAGTGCTAAAGCCCTCACAGTCTACGCTGGGATATTGTGTACTGTGTGTCTGTGTGTGTGTGTGTGTGTGTGTCTGTGTCTGCTCATGCTTGAGCGAGAAGAGACAAGAGAACGAGAGTTTGACTTTAAGTCGGTGACAGGCTCTTTGCTTATGAGGCAAACTCAGCATGTGTGTGAGCGTGTGTGTGTGTGTGTTTGTGCTTTAGCTCTGTGATAATGTCAATGGTGTCAGCAACCGTGGACCAACAACACACAAAGGAAAAGTAAGCCCTCTCAGCGTCGCTGGTGATCTTACACTCCCATTCAGCAGCCTCTTACGTAACACCAGAAGGGATTTACAGTGAATTTGCCCTTTTTCAGCTGTTGTCCCATATACTCAATGAAAATGAATAATGATAATGTTCATAATGTGATCACAAGACTTCAAAAGGTACTTTTTGTTGCAGTCTTACTGTTCCCATACCTGTGCATGCAGTTCAAACTGACACACACATGCATGTACATGAACTGATTTCCCTCACTCATGCATGCCAGCCTCAACCCAAACCTGTCTCCATGACCCTAGGGGGCACCCTCTCCCGCCAAGCCTCAATGCCTTGCAAACGACAACACTTTGCATCCAGAGCTCCTCCCTCAAGCCACGGCCCCGGCCCTCAGAATGACGACTCATATACCCTTGGCTATGATCCCACAGGTACAAACACACACTCACCAACTTCCTCCCATCTGTTTGGTTTTTGTTTACCACCTGTGACACATTCATGACTTCCTAGGTAAGGATGGATTACTGAACAGGCCTACCGGGCCCAGACACCCAGGCAGGGTCAGGGGGTACCTTGGCCAGAGCCTCTGTTTGAATTGACTGGTTTCTTGTTGGAACATCGATCAAATAAAAGAAGATGCAAAACAACACTAAAGAGACAGAAATACAACAACACAAACAGAACAAGCTCAAAGAAAGGCAAAGCGACCAATAAGAGATACAAAGCGACCACAGAGACACAAAATAAGACACAAAGTAAGAACACAAAAAGGCACAAAATGACTAGAAAAATAAACAAAATGGCCACAAAGAGATCCAAAACAACTAAAGAGAGACAGAATACAACCGCAGAGACAGAAATCGACCAGAAAAACAAACAAAAAAGGCACAAAGAAAAAAAACAACAACCACAAAAACAAACCAAACAACCGCTAAGAGACACAAAACGACACAAATAACACAGTCACATTGCTGTTATTGTAATTTTCTGTCTCGTTGGGGGCCTTTTACATCTCTGTGCCCAGGGGCCTGTTGTCTCCTCCTCCTCCGTCCATGTTCCCAGGTTTCCCATTTCCCTTCCAAACAGCACCCTGATCCCAGTCTCCTCTCGATCAGTCCTCTGGTGCTCAGTGTCAGCTCAATAGGTCCTCTCCCAGCTGCAGTGCGTTGGGTGTATACAGTGAGTCTGTGCCTAAAGTGTGTGTGTGTGTTTGTTAGGTGCTCCACCTGACAGTCAGCTCTCAGCCCCAGCTAGTCCTGCTAGCCCCACTCAGGACATTTGGGTCCTCAGGAGCTCTCCCACTGGTAAGGGTGTGTGGTCCCAAACCCCTGCCCCCCCATCGACCCTGTGTGAACCTGTAGACCAGATCCCATCCCAGCCATTCTGATAAACTGTGCAGCTTTAGGGAAGCTTATTCCCATATATATCCCTTTATATTTCAAAGTCTTGACCTTACCATGCCAGCCTGCAAATCCCATGCACCCCCACTGCCACCCACAATAATCCAGTAACCCCAACCATATTTGTCTTGCAGCGGGATATAATGGTAAGTGAGAAGCACTCCTTCAGAGCCTCTTCTTTAACTGTGTTCCTCCGACTGGTGTCTCAGGTTTTTTGCAGCTTGCTTTTGCAACTACCTCCATCCTGAAAACGGCACAGCAGAAAACTGAAAAGCAATAATCTTAACAAGTCATTTCATCTAGTTGTTGTTATTGTTGTTGTGTTTTTCATAAGTAGAGAGATAATGTCATTAATTATTCCTTTTCATTCCTGAAATCATTTAAAATGTTAAAGAATAATTTTTATATTTTGATAAGTACATCACTTTCTTTTCGAGAGTTAGAATTAACACGTTGTATCTTGTTTAATCTGTACACAAACACAAATGTAAATATGCCATTTTCCAGTTTTAGGGAGAGTTGCATGCTGTAACTTTTTGCTGGGATATGAATAAACTTAATCAGGAAATAGTTGTGCCATCTAATTTCAGTTAATGTATGGGTTGAACAAAGGTTATACAATTAGGGAGCTTTTGACTTG